GTTGCTATTTATGTAGAGTAAAAACATCCAAGGCATATGTACAGGATTGATGTAAATAGATTTGTTACATGTGATGTGGGGGACTCTAGTTTTTAAGCAGAAGTTGAATCATTATCCTCTCCATGATGTTGTGGTTGTGGATTATCTTTATTGGCAGAGATTGACAAGATTCTGTAAGAAAATTATCTGACTGAAGAAAATTTCAATAAGGATCAGTATGGATATTTATTCTTCTAATTATTTTTCTAAGTTAAGGTGGTTAATTATTAGCTTGAGCCAAATATGGTCCATGAAACAATCGATAGTATTTCCTCATAAACTTAGTAAATTTTAATGAAGGTTTGTTGGGAATCAAGAGCTGTTAGGCTCAAAAATAACCCTCTCTGGGGTGATTTCACCAAAAATATAACAGAGTGCAGGATGCACAGTACATAAGCAGCAGAAACATATGTGTAGTGAGCAAGGATTGGTTTCCATTCAACAGGATGGAACAGGATTGCAGATCCACAACTCATAGGATCAAAAAATAATATGTTTATTAAAGATAAAAGAAATCCATTCTGGATAGGAAAGGTTCTTGGAGCTAACTAGCTTCACTGAGCTATCTTCTAAGGAAAAGGAAAAATAATAAAAGTAACTATATCTCCTACATCGTGCCTTAGACAATGGCAAGATGCTTCCTCACTCTTGAGAAGACAAAAGGAGAAGCCAGAAAATGGAGACAGACCACATGGCCAGCCCAGGGCAATAAAAATACCTTTAAAAGAGGAAGTTACGTTTCTTTAAAGAGATTACATATCTTTATTCAAATGAAGGGAAGATAGTGCCATGCAAAGATGGGGAAGACAGCCCCCCTTCTTAACCCCTTCTTAAAACAAACTAGCTAAAGGTAATTGGGGAGGAATCCCTCAGTCTATGTAGCCTAACTACTCATTGAGAGCTGGACACTTGTGCAGTCAGGGATGAAACCCAACACATTTTCCCTCCTCCAATCTACTTCTTAAAGATAGGGACCACATTTGCCCTCCTCCAATCTACACCATGACGCCAAATTTAACTAATTTACGAGGCCATAAAATATCTCCTAAAAGCCTGCGGGGAATGAGGAAGTAATTCATCAGTGTCGCAGATAGATGGTGAAGTGACAGCTCCCCTGGTGGCCAGAAAAAGTTGGAATGTTAAATAGCCTCTGACTGTCTGTCTGTATGTGTTGTGTGTCTATGGCATTGAATGTTTGCCATGTATATGTACATTGTAGTCCTCCCTGAGTCCCCTGTGGGGTAAGAAGGGCGGAATATAAATACTGTAAATAAATACATAAATAAATGATAACCTGAGACCCTAAACTTATTTAATGTGAAGAAACTAATTTTGCACACAAATGAAAACATAAGGGGTTAAGGAAGCATTGTTGTTTTGCTCAAAAATGTGCTTCTGAGGAAAGAAAACTGCAAATGATTTTCACAGAAATCAATGTCGGATTTTGTACCAATTTAGTGCTTTTCACATTCATGATTTCTTTGTAAAACAGCCTGTATGTTTCTAGGAAAACCCCTGTGCAAGAAAAGTGAGTTTCTGGGAAGAGATTTTTTTTTGTCCAAATAATGCACACACCCCCCCCCCCCCAAAAAAAATTGCAGTGTGTATTTGACAATCTTATGTAGTTTCTTTGCTGCATACTTTTCTGAAACACAGTTCAGGCAGTTCCCAAGTTACAAACAAGATAGGTTATGTAGGTTTGTTCTTAAGTTGAATTTGTCTGTAAATTGGAACAGGTACATTTTTAAGTGTAACTCCAGCCATCCACACACACACACACACACACACACACATGTATGTATGTATGTATGTATAAGCTTTGGATAGCATAAGGATAATGATAACACTCCTGTAATGTTTATTTTGCAGTATGTGCCCCTGTTCAGAAGATTTCATCTGACTCTTCCCCTGTGATAATTGGATTTTGAAAGCTGGCTTGTTGTGGAAACAAGGACTGGTAATAAAGCTTAAGTAGAGACACTTTTTCCCTATGATAACTGTACTGTATTAATCTGACTTGGCCCTTTCAGCATTAATTTATTATTTACCTGTCACACTTTACCATCAGCCCTTGTTCATACAGTTGTATTGCACAAACCTTCCCTCGTCCCTTAATTTGGGAACGTCCATTATGCTCGGCTACTGGTTGTATGGTGAATTAAATCAAGAAACAGCTTCCTACGATCTACAGAGATACTTGCAGGAATACCTCAGAAAGCAAGAGTTAAAACCTAGAACCTCAATCAGTGGCTGATACCAGATGAGAAACTCCCTCTTGAGCACACAGAAGACTGGGCCACTTAGAAGGCGCTGAACATACTGTGCTCTGGCACCATGAGATGCACCTTAAGAAATGGGGCTACAAAGTGAAGTCCACGACATGCAAGTGTGGAGAAGGCAAACCACAGACCATCTACTACAGTGCAGTCTGAGCCCTGCCATATGGTGGACCTGCTTACAGCCACACCAGAGGCACTCCAAGTGGCCAGCTTCTGGTCAAAGGAGATCTAGCATAATGCCAAGTTTTTAACTTTGTTTGTGGTTTTTTGTTATAACTATGTTCTCTATTTCTGACATGAAAAATAAATCAGTTTACATGTTGTTGTGTGCCTTCAAGTTCTTTCCAACTTATGGCGATCCTTAAAGCAAACATGTAATTAGGTTTGCTTGAAAAGTTTGTGTTTGCCTTCATCTGAGAGTATGTGTCCATTGTCCAATATCATCTGGTGGATTTCTTTGAGCAAGGATCTGGATCCTGGTCAACAGAGTTGTAGTCCAGATCCTACCACTATGCCATTCTGGCTCTCAGTATTTCTGTTATATCCTGTTTTCATGCAGATCAGCCTTAGAAAGATAGGTAGATACACACACACATATATTCCTTGTTATTCACTTTGATTTTATATCACTTGGACATGTCATGTAATACATACTAATCATACAGAAATTGTATATTATATGTAGCCTTTGTTAGGGCGTTTGTATCTTAGTTATATCTTTTCCAAATCAAATTCTTGTTCATTTTGCTTCTATGTAATGACACAGTTCTATTTTAAGAGGTGTTTTCTTGGTTGAATTGCCATAAACCCTTGAGGAATTACAACATATGTTTTAAAATGCCCTATAAGTTTGGAAATATTAGTTTTAAAAATCGGCCCAAATATCTGGGTCAACTGGATCAGTATGAGTACTAAAACTGTTATTTTAAAAAAGCAATCATCTTCTCTAAGTAGAGTCGCAAAAGACAAGAACTAACTCCATCCTGGGAGAACCTAGAAGAAGTGATGACTGTGGCACTGCTTCTGGCTTTAAAAATATTCAAATAAATAAACATACATTTGTAAGGGTTTGTTGCATACTGTACAATACTTTTCAGCTATTAGTGTTCCATAATAATTTCTCAGATAATATATTTTCTTTAAGGGGTCACAGTCTTCTATTTAGATAGTATATATAAGGGTATTTTATTTATTTATTTATAATTCAAACTTATATGCCGCCACTCCCCTGGGGCTCGGAGCGGCTTACAAGAACAGGCTAAAATCTAACACAATTTAAAAACAATTTAAAACAATTTAAAAACAACGTCAGAGATCAAAGGCCTGTCAAAACAGATATGTCTTACATGCCCTGTGGAAAGCTGATAGGTCCCGGAAGGCACGGACTTCAGGTGGCAGAGTATTCTAGAGTGATGGTGCCACTGCTGTAAAGGCTCTGCGTCTGGTTGCTGTTAGACGCAAGGTCTTGACACTGGGAATTTCCAATAGGTCTTGGTCCTCAGAACAGAGGGATCTCTGGGGTTGGTAGGGGGTGAGGCGGTCCCTCAGGTACATCGGCCCCAGACCATGCAAGGCCTTAAAGGTGAGAACCATCACTTTGAAAGTGAACCAATGTAGCTGTAGTAAGATTGGTGTTATGTGGCATCTCATCAGAATTCCCGCAAGAAGCCGAGCAGCTGCATTTTGTACCAACTTGAGCTTCCGGATCACCGACAGAGGAAGGCCAATGTAGAGGGAGTTACAGTAGTCCAGTCTTGAGATGACCGTAGCCTGGATCACCGTAGCTAGGCACTTATTTGTAGGCACTTACTTAACATCTGCTTCCTCCTTGTCTACAGTCTTATAGAATATATACATTTTAGTTTAATTTTACATTGAGATGTTGAATATATTGGTTGCCATTCATTAACAAAGTTGTCTAATAGTTCTCCTCTTAATAATAGTTACTTTATCCATTATCAGCAAATCTGTAATATATTTTTCCTGCTCTTGTAAAGGAGGTATCTCTGAGGTTTTCCAGTATTTAGCATATACTATTTGAGCTGCCCCTGTCATGTAAAACATTTTTTTCACGAATTTCCTTTCTAGTTCTTCATCAAGCATGTTCAAAAGGCACATTTGTGGTGTCATTTTGAAATTTGTGTTTAACATCTTTTCGAGATATACATGAATCTGCTTCTGGCTTTTGAATGTCTGAGCAGGGAGATGACGGGGGGGGGGGGGGGGGGGGGGGGGGGCATGGGTGGCTGCCAACCAAAACAGCATTGGTGCTTTCCCTCTTTATAGAGTGACTCTCAGCTTCTCTATGGGTCGTATGAAAATCCATAGTTTGGGTCCCAAAATCTGTCCCAATTTATAGATGAGGCCAACTTATATATGAGCATATATTGTGAATGAAATTTGGAGAGAAATCGTATATAACTCTAAAAAAGAAAAAAGGGCTGAATGTGCACACACTCTCCCCAGAATCAACTAGCTTTCTTATGTCTGCCCCCCACTTACTTTTTAGCATTTTAGGTTCACTGAAGGGTGATGATTTCTATCACACAATAGCTGCCTAAATCAATAGAAAAAAAATCATTGAACCAATGAGAAATTTGCTATCTGTGTTTCTTGCATTTTGACTATGTTAAACACTACCTCATTTTTTGTCTCTCTTCTCTTTCCATTTTTCCCTTACAGGATGACAAGGATTTGGTTCATGAGTTCGTTGTGGCAGAGGGCCTCACTTGTTTAATAAAAGTGGGAGCAGAGGCAGACCAGAACTACCAAAATTATATCTTGAGAGGTACAGAAGCTTGATTCACTAGCTGTTTTTGTTTCAGTTAATAGTTCAGCTACTCTGCTGCAAACCATTACCTTATAATGTTGCACATTTGTAGATCTTATCTAAAATCAGTGCCCCTCTCAGGAATATATTTTATTGTTCAAATTGTGAGTTTTTAAGTCGGGAACAAGGATATAAGTTTTGACAGCTCCTGACATTATAATCACTTTAAAATTTCAAAATAATTACACAACATGTATTTTTGTATTTACTTGTTTGCTAAGTGCCTACAATTATTTTTAGAATCTGTATACAGTTTTAAAAATGATGCAGACCCTGCCCTTAGGTGTGCAATCAAAAGGCATTCAAGGAAAATAATAGTGTGAGAGAAAAAACAAACTGAGGTATCAAAACCTTCCATCTAGATAATGGGTAATGACAATGATTCTACCTGAAGCAGTTCAAGGAGAGGATCAAAGATATGGCAATTGATTCCATTTGGTGAACTGTGCCTTCCCGACCCACCTTTCTCTCCGCTGTTTCTGTCTGCATGTGCTTTCAGGTTACCAATTGACTTATGGCAATCCTATGATTGTCATAAAATGTTCTTAGGCAAGGAAGTTGCTTAAGAAAATATGGTTATAACAGTTTCTTCCTCAGAAATCTAGCCTTCTGCAACTGGTATTCATCGCCAGTCTCACATCTTAAGCAGGGCTGACACTACTTAGCGATCTGGTATCACCTCTCTGATACTGCCGCTAACATAGCTGCCAATAGAGAAAGTTAGGTAAAAAGGAGCAGCAAGATTACCTTTGTTCCCACCCAAGCTAATTTAGTGGTGAACTTTCTCACTTCTCCCTTTAGTGTGACCAAGTTGAATGGTATTTTAAACATATGTGTTCAGCAAGATCAATTTACTGAATAAATGGCATTGTTGTGAACCAACAATGAATGTGTAAAAACTATCACACATTCATGCTCAGAATTGATTTTATTTATTTATAAAAGAATTTTCCAATTCCCCCAATGAAGGTCCCCAACAGGATTTCTAACCTTACCATGCTAGACTAAAACCAAAACGGAGACTTTAAAGTGCTCAGCCATGCGATTTAAAATAATAATTAAATCACATTGAGGAGGGGACAAGCATATTTTATGCTGCTCTGGAGACTGGAACACAGAACAATGGATTCAAATTGCAGCAAAAAAAGACTCTACCTAAAAACTCCCTGACAGTAAGAGCTATTCAGGAGTGGAATATGCTGCTTCAGAACATAACAGAGCCTCCTCCTCTAGAGATTTTTACACAGAGGCTGGATGGCCATCTGTCAGAGGTGCTTTCATTCGATAATCCTGCATGTGAGGGGGTTGGACTTAAATGATCTTCATGGTCTTTTCCAACTCTATGATTCTAAGTGACATTATGAAACTCTTCACCACTCAGATAAACACGATCAGCAATATAGCCGTTTTCATGAATTGTAGGGGTTCCCATTAGCTCATGTTCCCTTGAGTGAAGGGTTTTAATGTCAGACTTAAAACAGGACATCTGAAAATGATTTGAACCAACAAACAGGTTAATATGAGATTTTTATAAGGAGTTTCTATAGCTGCTGTTACAAAATGGTTTGGCTGACTTGTTTTCTCTAAACATAGTTTTTGAATCTTTTTCAAGAGCAGCCTCATGTGTGTGACTAAAGCACAGGAGGAGCCAGATAGACATTTTTGGCCTGTTGACCTTCTGTTCTAGAAGTCCTTTAGGCTGCTCGGTTTTTAAGCATCTCTTTAATTTTGGCAGAGCTGCTGCTTAGACAGGTTTATTTGCTCACATTTGGTAAGAATGTGAGAACTTTGTGTCAAACCTGCTATTTAGGCAAGTAAATTTGGTCACATTTGACAGGAATGTGATAGCTTCCAACATCTTGAAGACTTGCCATTAAGTTCTGTAGGCCTCAAGGACAAGAAGGTAAAAACCCAGATTCATGCGCCTGGGAGCCCATCCACACAGGGCCAGAAACATGGGCTGTCTCAGACTTTTACCTGAGACGTCCAAACGACACCTCAGGTAAAAGCAAATTAAAAGCAAAAACCCTGCCTTGTCCCGAAATACTGCTGGTCACAGCTGACCTCCAGCTGGAGTGCTCAAGGGCCAGGGCTTCCCAGTTCTCAGTGTCTTTTAGGATTAGCTTTGAGCCCATCTTTAAATTTCATTTCCTGTCCTCCAACATTCCCTTTTCCATTCTTGAATTCGGAGTAGAGCAACTGCTTTGGGAGATGGTGGTCAGGCATTTAGACAATGTGGCCGGTCCAGCGGAGTTGACGGCGGAGGACCATCACTTCAATGCTAGTGGTCTTTGCTTCTTCCAGCATGCTGACATTTGTTCACCTGTCTTCCCAAGAGATTTGCAAGATTTTTCAGACAGCACTGATGGAATCGTTCCAGGAATTGCATGTGACATCTGTAGACAGTCCATGTTTCGCAGGCATATAGCAGGGTTGGGAGGACAATAGCTTTATAAATAAGCACTTTGGTATCCATGTGGCTGGCCCGTTCATCAAACACTCTATGCTTCATTCAGAAAAATGCATCGCTAGAGATCAGGCGGTGTTGTATTTCAGTGTCAATGTTGACTTTTGTGGAGAGGTGGCTGCCAAGGTAGCGGAAATGGTCAACATTTTCTAATGTTACACCATTAAGCTGTATTTCTGGCATTGGAGAGGGATTGGGTGGTGACTGCTGGAACAGCACTTTGTTTTTCTTGATGTTCAATGAGAGACCGAGCTTCTCATATGCTTCTGCAAAGGTGTTTAGAGAGACTTGTAGATCTTCTTCTGAATGTGCACAGACGACATTGTCATCAGCATACTGGAGTTCTATATCAGATGTTGTTGTAGCCTTGATTTTGGCTTTCAGTCTGCTGAGGTAAACAGCTTGCCATCTGTCCAACAGATGATTTCCACTCCGGTGGGAAGCTTCCCATCAACAAGATGAAGTATTATAACGATGAAGATGGAAAAAAGGGTTGGGGCAATAACACATCCCAGTTTGACACATGATTCCACCTTAAATGGGTCACTTTGGGAGCCATTGCTGTCTAAGACTGATGTCATCATGGAGGAGCTGCAGGATGTTTACAAATTTGTTAAGCACCCAATTTTTTAAAGGATGGTCCAGAGAGCAGTGCGATTCACTGTGTCAAATGGCTTTCCAAGGTCAATGAATGCCATGTACAGAGGTTGATTTTGTTCCCTGCATTTTTGTTGGAGCTATCGTGCAGTGAAGATCATGTCCACTGTTCCTCTGGAGGGCCAGAAGCCATTCTGGGATTCTGGAAGGGTGTCTTCTGAGAGAGCTAGAAGGCAGTTTGCAAGGATCCTTGCAAGGATTTTCCCAAGAGATTATAAGGGAGATACTTTGATGGTTTCCGCAGTCTGTTCTTTCCTCTTTTTTGAAGATGGTGATGATCGTGGTATCCTTGAAATCTGCTGGGATTTTCTCGGTCATCCTCACTTTTTCTATGAGCCGGTGGAGTTGTTGTGTCAGCTCAGGCCCTCCCTCTTTAAAGATTTCAGCAAGGATCCCATGAGGTCCGCTGGCTTTGTTATTTTTATTGTTGGCTGATGGCATTGCTGACTTCTTCCAAACTAGGCAGTGCTGCAAGCTCATCCCTGGTTTGTTGTTTCGCAATTTGTGGGATAACCTCTTCAGCGATTCAGGAGGCTTTGGTAGTGTTCTTTCCAACGGAGTGCAGTTGATTCAGAAGTTTGGTTCCATCTGATGAGTGTAGAGGCTGTATGCCATGGCTTCTTGGTCCACAGATGGCCTTTGTGGCTTTGAAAAATCCCTGAGCATCATGTGTATCTGCCAGGTGTTCAATTTCTTCAGCCTTCTTTGTCCACCAGATGTTCTTGAGTTCTCTTGTCCTTCTTTGGACTTCAGCTTTTACACTGGCGTAGATCTTTTTCTTAGCAGCACAGTTGACATCTCTCTGCCATGTTTGGAAGGCTTTCCTTTTCTTGTCAATTAGCTGTTGGATCTCATTGTCATTTTCGTCAAACCAATCTTGATGTTTCTTGGTTTGATATCCAATAGTTTCTTCGCAGGCTGTGATGATGGAGGTCTTCAGTTTGTTCCAATGTTCCTCAACATTTTTGGGGTGGTCTATGGGTAGATGGTCCTTGAATGCTGTTTGGAGAAGGGCTTGTCTGGAGGGCTCCTGAAGGGCTTGGGTGTTCATTTTGCTCCTTGTCTTTCTTCCTTGGAGTCTGCGCTTGGGGGCCATCTTGATAGCCATTGTGGATCGGATAAGCCTGTGGTCTGTTCAGCAGCCATCAGCACCTGTCATGGCTCTTGTGAGAAACACGTCATGGCATATGTAATTACGTAGTCTAAGAGGTGCCAATGCTTTCACCAGGGGTACTTCCATGATGTCTTGAGCTTGTTTTTCTGGCGGAAGAGCGTGTTGGTGATGACAAGGTTGTGTTCCGCACATTTGGTGAGAAGCAGGATGCCATCTGAGTTGCTATTTCCAACACCGTCTTTTCCTATGGTCCTTCATCCCGCTCTTGCATTAAAGTCCCCGAGGAGGATGGTTTTGTCCTCCTTGGGTATCTCTGATAGGACGGTGTCCAGCTGACAGTAAAAGTTTTCCTTGATGTCTTCATCAGCATCTAGTGTTGGTGCATAGGAACTTCTGATGGTAGACTGCTGGTTTTTGGCAAGGTTAATTCAGAGGGTTGAGAGTCGTTCATTAATGCCAGTGGGTGCTTCGGTCAGATGCTTCACCAGATCATTTCTGATAGCAAAGCCAACTCCGTGCATTCTTCATTCTTCTTTAGGCAGACCCTTCCAGAAGAAGGTGCAACCTCCTTTTTCTTCCTTCAGCTGTCCCTCTCCTGCTCTCCGAATCTCCTGAAGTGCTGCGATGTTGATGTTAAAGTGTCCCAGCTCCCTTGCAATGATAGCAGTTCTGTATTCGGAACATTGACTGTCAGTGTGTCCATCAGTGTCTGTACGTTCC